TCAAAAAATTTTGGAACCTCTTCTGTAGGTGTGGCCTGCCTTCCGGGTCCACTGGTGGAACCTCTTCTAACCGGTTCGGTAGATTTGACGAACTGATTCTACCAAATAGGTGCGAACTGGTAGGAACCCACCTCTGATGTGCATCTAAAGCTAAGGGAAAGGGAGAAAAGTATGCCTGATGATATTTCTAGGTTTTTTAAAACCTTTTTTTAAAAGTTATCTTTCAAAATATTGTCAGGATGTATGCATTTTTAAAAGTAGCCCGAGCTATGTTTTCCTCTAAGCCAAACCCATTTCCTTTTGCTGAGAAAATGCTGATGATCGTAGTTTTGCTTAAACTGACGATCGTAGTTTAGTTAAAACTGTTTGTGAGGGAGGCGATCACATGTCAGTCCTCCCTTCCCTGTGTTAAGAGAGAAATGAGAGTTTTTCAGGGTTGAAGAGAAGTTGGCTGCCAGAAATGAACTAGAAACTGAAAAGCAGAAGCCAGAGAGGAATCAAAGCCAAGGAACAAATAGAAATATACCATACCAGCCTTCTCCAGTTTGGTATAAACAATGGTATAATCCAGAAATGCACGAAATATTTATCATTCACACAGAGATTGGTCATGATGTCTGAGCATGATGGGAATGGTAGCCCAATACATGGCACTATGCTTGGAATATCTTATTTGCTCAAGCCAGGCCAAAGGTCAACCAAGTGGGCCTTCTTTCTATCCAGGAGGCCGAGACATGGTGGAGAGCAGGAGGACCTCTCAAGCTAAAAGCTAGAAATCCTGTGTTGCCAAGATGATTCTCCAGGCTATGTTTTTTGATAGAACTGAACATACACAGAGATTTCCCTTATGGTTTCCAGCAGAACATTTTTAAGATGCCAAAAGGAAGCATATTTAGGGAAAGTTGATGTTTCCTCCTGAAAGTAATTTCCCCTCCATCTAGGAGACAAATGGCTTCTTTGTATGCTTTTAAATGGCTTCTGTCTGGCTCAATTAGAAGGCATGCTGTGGTGTTATGCTATTGCTTGATTTCAGAAATGGGGACACCCAGGGTTGGGGGCTGTGGGAAGAGATGCAGAGGTGGGCTGCTGCCAGTTCAGACAGGTTCGGGCAAACCGGTAGTCCCAACCACCGGCTCACCCCGCCCACCTGCCCCGATGCTATCCCGTCCTATACATCTCATTCTTTGGCTCACTCGCCCCGCCCACTCAGCCCAGCTGATTTCCGAGCCTCTCCCGCTCTACTCACTGTGGCTGCCTGAGAAGGTCTGCTGGAAGCCGCGTGCATGAAATCGCCGTGTGTTGGAAGCCACACGTGCGCTCACATTTTCAGTTCTGCATTAGGCGAACCGGTTTAGCCTACATAATGCCAATGATTGCCTTTCTTTTCCTTGTAGTCAACAACAAATATGGCTTGAAATGCAAAAACTGCAAGACTCACATCCATCATCACTGCCAAAGTTATGTGGAATTTCAGCGCTGCTTTGGCAAGATAGTAAGTAGGCCTCTTCTGAGCCCCAATGCAATGCATCTGCCTTCTGCCGATGGCTATCCATAACATGATTTGATATGGGAGGTTGCAGTTTTGGTTCTTTGCTTGCTCCATTAGACATGTAGAGAACACTGAGATGTAGAAGGGGGATAACGTTTTTCCAGAAAGGTTTGCTACCGGTACTTTGAAAAGGGTAGGATTCTTTTCATTAGTTTTTAATCATAAGTGTAACAAAAGCTGTACGCTCAAGAACCTGCCTATAGCAAGCTGAGTGCTCACAGCTAGAATATAATTAGCTAAAATTGGTGGGGGTTTTGTGTATTATCTTTGGATCCAGATTGGGATGAGGTATAAGGCTGAGGTTACTACATTTTAATTAGCAAAATGGAGAATATTGCAAGAGTATCTTTTAAAGAAATGAGGAAACAAAGCCATTTAATTTGATTTTGGATCCATCAGTATTTGATGATTTTAAAAACATCTATATAATGAAGTCTATAGGCTGGCTTCCAATAAGAAACGTAAAAGTGTTTGTTTGTTTGTTTGTTTGTTTGTTCGTTCATTCATTCATTCATTCATTCATTCATTCATTCATTCATTCATTCATTCATTCATTCATTCCACTGATATATGACCTATCTTATAACAAACTCTGGGCAGCTCCCAATAAAAAATGAAAGCAATGTAAAAACCACTTTAAGATTGCAAAAATGCAGCACATTGAAAACAAACAAACAAACAAACATGATGCCAAGTCAAGCTTCCAATATTCAGTCACCTCATCTGATAAGGGCCTTGTGGGAAAAATCAAGTCTTCAGTGCTGGTGGGAAGGTAGAGGCCTGCCAAATGTCAGGGAGAAGAGTGTTCCATTGGCAGGGGCTGCCATGGAAAAGCTTCCATAAAGCTCCCATCAGATGCCAATATTTAAGGGAAGGGACTAGGAGCATGCCTACTCTATCGGATCTGGTAAGACAAGTAGATGAGCTTAGAGAAAGTCGGTCTTGGAGATAATCTGCCCCTGTGCCGTATAAGGCTTTCAAGATGACGACTAGCACTTTGATTTGTACCCAGAAACAAAATTAAAAGCCAGCACAGCTCATACAACAGAAGTGTTCCATGGGCAAACTTAGGGGCACTCATCACCATGTGCTCTGCCGTATTCTGGACCAGTTGAAGTTTCTGGGTGGTCTTCAAGAGCAGCCCCATGTAGAGCGCATGGCAGCAGTTCAAATAGGAGCTGACCAAGGCATGAGTAACTATGAACGAGGCCTCCTGATCCAGGAAAGGGTGCAATTGGTACACTGGGTGACTCTGTACAAAAGCCCTTCTAGCCACTGTTCTCTTCTGCTCTTCAAGCAGAAGCAATGAATCTAGGAGGCCTCCAAATTTCACACCGAGTCTGGAAAAGTGTCACCATATCCAAAATCAAAGAGAGCTCTGGGGTGGGCCTAGAAGCTCAAAACCCCATAGGCCCTCTGTGCTGCCGAGGTTGAGTCAGAACCCGTTCCTCCCCATGGAGTTCATATTTAGAAAAACTGACTGACAGAAACAATAGATCTCAAGCCAGGTAGATTTGAGATACCTAAATGCGGATCTTGTGCCTCCAGTGCTCAAGGTTGTGAAAAGAACGGCTAAAAAAATCTGTTGACTAGACACGGTGAGAAGGAAACTCCTGGGATTTAGGTGTGGGCTTTGATTCCTGTGTTCTGCAGCTCTTCCTGCACTAAGGCATTTGATTCAGCTAAGCTCTATTTGTGAAGTCTCTAATTATTACTGGATATGGCTCAGTTTCTGCAGAGTTTATACCAATGACTGTGTCTGGTAAATATGGCAGGAGCTTCCCAAAACTCTGACCATGAGATTGCTGTTTCCCCACTGCTAAGACTTGTGTGTGTGCCTTTGAGCCAGGTTTTGACTCCTTTAACAACTTCCTAGACCCAAGGACAGTGATGGCAAACCTTTCTGTCATCATGTGCTGAAACTCTCTCTGTGTGTGCGCCCACACAAGCATGCACTTTCACGCATACCCTACACCCACAATGCAATGCACCCTGCCCACCTGCGCATGTGTGTGCGACCCCTCGATGCATGTGTGCATCACACACACACACCCACACACACACACACACACACCGTGCAGGGGGGAGTTTTTGCCCTCCCCAAGCTCCAGAGGCTTTCCTAAAGCTTCCGGAAGGGCGAAAACGGCTTCCCCCAGGCTCCAGAGCCCATCTGGAGGCCAGATACACGTTCCGTTTTTGGCACCAGGAGGCTTCAGGGAGGACCTTCGGAGCCTGGGGGAGGCTGTTTTCACCTTCCCAGAGGCTTGAGGAAAGCCTCCAGAGCCTGAGGAGGGTGAAAAACAGATGTTCCGGAAGTTTGGAAACGGGCGTGTTTCCGGCCTCCAGAGGGCCTCCTGGGGAGGCTGTTTTTGCCCTCCCAGAGGCTCGAAGAAAGCCTCCAGAGCCTGGGGAAGGCAAAAAACAGGACTTCCAGATGGGCAAAAACAGCCTTCCCCGGCCCTCCGGAAATACTGAAAATCAGCTGGCTGGTCCGTGCATGCATGTTGGAGCTGACATAGGGCAACAGCTCGCATGCCCACAGAGATGGCTCCATGTGCACCCTGTGGCACATGTGCCAAAGGTTCGCCATCACGGCCCAAGGAAATCTCTGCAGTTTTCTTGGCAAGATTTCAGAAGCGATTTGCCCTTCCTCCTTTCCTAAGGCTGAGGGAGAAGAACTGGTCCAACATCACTCAGTTGGCTTCATGCCTAAGGCAGGACTAGAACTCATGGTCTCTTACTTGATAACTTAACCACTATATCAAACTGCCTCTCTCCTGCTAGTAGGTGAGAAACAACAAACCTGGGTAAGATTTCTGGGTTCAGAGCCAAGAAACTAGCTCCTCTCCTCGCCAACAGTTTTATGTCTGGGTGGCATTCATGGATGAATGTGTATGGTGTAATCGTACTCATCAGCTCTACTTGCCTCGAAGCCTCTAAATGTTTACACAGAAGAGCTGTCATTTTTATCTTGCATCATTTCTTCTTGCATTTGTATCCAGGATTGTTGTCGGTATCTGATCCAAATCAACCCGGTCCTTTGGTGCCGCAGGAATTTTAAGTAGGGCACCTTGATTTAAGAGCTAGTTTGCGACACTTGTTCTACATGGATAAAATAATGCACAATCGGAATATCAATCTCCGGAAGTGACTGTCTCAAATAGATGTATGCCATTGCCTCTCCATGGGCCAGAATAAAAAATAGAAATGTGCAGTCGTTACGGTGTATATAAGGATTACATTATTTTTCAATTGGAAATTATTCTTGTGGGAGAAAAAGTACATTTATTGGCCCTACAATGGACTTTATACTTTTGAAAAATGGATTCCAATTCTTAGTGCACTGCAATGCAAGCACATTGCCTTTGATAGATTGAAGCCACAATTCCCTAACTGCAGAATTGGAGGAGAGCAGTGGGTGAGTAAGCTAACAAATTCCCCAGTATTTTTGTATATTATTAAAAGCTGAAGCAGCCAAGAACATAAATAGCTTTATACTAAAAGTTCGGTTATGAACATTTTTTACCTGCTTGGAGAAAACCAAATGGTTCCCCAGAAAATCACTTCCCGACCCCAGTATTATTTGCAGTAATTTGGGCTTTGGAGTACCATTTTTTCCTATGACCTTAGACCAGTGGTTCTCAACCTTCCCATTGGCGCAACCCAAAGGTGGGTTGCTGCCAGTTCGCACCAGTTCAGTAGAACCGGTTTGTCAAATCTACCGAACCAGTTAGAAGAGGTTCCACCAGTGG